AAAGGGGTAATAAGCACGTGGGAAATGAGAGAATTTCTCCAGAGTCTTCTTCAGTTTCTTCTCTCAGCCGTGAACTCCAACTCGTAAAGGTAAGAATTCTTAGTAGTTGATTATTAGCTGAAATTTAAGTTGGGTTTTGATCATTGAGTGATACTTAAGCTTAAGTTGTCTTAAAATCATAAGATGAAGTAAAGTTAAGGAACTTTGAAATGAAATCTTGAATGAGAGTTGATAAGTTAAATTGGAAGTTAAATTTGACTTGTCATCAATATAATTAAGACATATGAAAGGTTAAAATTGAATTTAGAACACATGGAAAATTTGATGAAATTCTTTGATTCAAGAATTATGGTGAATTATGAGAGATGGTGAAGTGTTATAGTGTTATAAGAAGGTTTAAATATGCATAGATAAGTTTTAAGGCATAAGGAGGGGTTAATAAGTAGAATTTGAGGACAAAGTAAGAATTTTCGGGCTCAAAATGTAATTTCTGGGTTGTGTGCATCGATGCATATTCAATGTGTATCGATGCACTCTCAAATAAATGAACATCAAATGCAATTAGTGCATCGATGCATAAGGAGTGCATCGATGCACCCCTTAAAATGAAAACATCGAAGGTGATTTGTGTATCGATGCATGAGTAGTGCATCGATGCATATATTAAAGAATGCATCGATACACTATAGAATGTATCGATGCACTTCAAGGGAAAATGGAATTATACCTTTCTATTGGTATAAGAAATGATAGATTAGAATATATCAATTGGATACTGATATGTATCAATGTATGATTATATAGATATCTAGCACGAACAAGTTCCAGAACGATTATCAAGTTAAGATTTGATCGAAAGAGAGGAAAGCATAAAAGTGGATTGGAACTTAGTGAGGCCAAGGTGAGTGCATCTTATTACATAGAATTATATGAAAATTGACTTGCGATAAGTCTATTTCCGATAGTATAGTACATGAAGTATGTGATTAATATGAAATGTATGTATACTTGATTGTATGAGTGTATATATGCTATATGAATATATGGTTATGGAATAAAGTATGTAATAATACAATGTTATTTGAGTTACTTAACAATAGGTCATAAGATTACAAGCATACAACATAAGTTATAAGATAAGAAAATAAGTGCTTACATGTATTTGTGGGTATATATATACATATGAATAAGATATGATATATGTTTATGTAAAACCATGCAAAATGATATGAGAAGTGAACTACACGATTATGTGATCATATGAGAATGAGATAAAGAGTCATGAGATATATGAAAGAGAAAGTATATGTGATACGTGAAAGTGAATCATATGATTATACATATATGGATGACATGATATATGTGAACATGAGAAAACAAAGTATAAGATAGAAGCTATGTGATCCTATGAGAATATAAAAAGAAGCTATGTGACTACATGTATATGTGAAAGAAGCTATAAGCTTATATGACATCTGATATGAAAGTGTATATATGAAATGATATAAAGATAAATGCCCATGGTATATGATATGAGAGCGATAGGTATAGTTGGCATGCAAAGAGTCGAGGTTTACCTATGTTCTACGGAACATATGGACAGAATTACCTATGTTTTTCGGGACATATGGACAGTATACATATGTTCTAAGGAACATAAGGACAGTTTAACTAGGTTCTTTGAGACCTATGAACAGTTGCTGAGGTTATTTATGACCTCTGGATAGGTCATTCGGGACAAATTTCATAGCCCCTAGTGGGACCCATACAAGATGTGGTGACATCATAGTGCACAACTTCAATAGACTCACATATCTACAATTCTCACATATGTACATGGGTGAAGTTAAAGAATAAACTTGATATAATCATATGTCTGTTTTGTTGGGAAGTGATATATGTGCTATGATGTGATAATAATGGAAATGATTGTACATAAATATGTATAATTTGATATGATGCTATGTGTACTCGTTGTGAAATTATATATGTATATGTGTGTATTGGTTGAATGAAAGGATATATGCTTTTGTATGAGATGAAAGTACTAATTGTTTTTGCATAATATGTGTATAGTTCCATTATATGTTTTATATGTCTCACTAAGTCATAGACTTAGCGTGTGAGTGTTTCACACGTAGGTTACAGAAGTGAGAAGAGTAAAGAGCAATGTGGAGCAAGACAGGTCAGTTCTCCTTACCAAATGTCAGATCATAAGAAAGGTGAATAATATGTATTTTAATATATATAAAGTTCTAGTTGGCATGTATTCAAAATAATATATTGTATAAGCTTTGAATAGTTCTGTAAACGTTTTAAATAAGTTATATGTTATAAAAATTTTAAATTACTTACTATTTTATACAAGTAAATGTTTTGAAAAGTCAATGTGACACCTCGGACTCGGGTCTGGGTCGGATACAGGTTGGGGGTGTTACACCGCCGGTCGCCACCAATGGCGTCAATCGACTGAACACGCAACGACGTGTCATTGGCTAATCACCGATGACCAAAAGCCCAATACTTTCAAAACCAATCAAACACCAAAAAATGATGTAATTGAAAAAGTTTGTTTTAGGGTTTTGAAACCATAAAATTCTCTTATATCGATCGTGATAATCGACCGTTTGATCGGATGTGGTGGTCGGTCATTTACCGTTTGGTCGACGCCGTGGCAGTTGATCGTGGCGGGGAGGGGGAGAAGGGAAAAAAGGGGGAAGGAAACAAGGGGTTGGTTGGGAGGACGTCATTGTTCAGTTGTTTTTTTATGTAAAATATTTTTAAAAAATCAAAAATATCAAAACATGATACGTGTCACTTAACGTGAATTTTTAACTGTGATTAACGTCTAGACACCTAAAATAGTAAAGAAAAAAACGCTATGCACCTATTTTTAGTGAAAAAAATTTTAGGCACTAAAATATTTTTCAAAGTAAAGTTCATACACTTATTTTTGTATTAAGCCTATTTAAAATTAGGCTAAAATACATGTTTAGTACCTAAAGTATTACTTTTATTCCGTTTTAGTACCTAAACTTTCATTATTTTTCAAAATCATACCTAAAGTTTACTTTTTGTTTCATTTTAGTATCCAGACGTTAAAATTTTAGGTACTGAAATGAAATAAAAAGTAAACACGGTATTAAAATGAAATAAAAAATAAACTTTAGATATAATTTTTTAAAAAAATAAAAATTTAAATACTAAAACGGAACAAAAAATGATACTTTAAGTATTAAACATGTAGTTCACTCTTAAAATTATCATTTAGAGTTCAAGACGTATTGGAAGCAGCCTTCATCTTTAACATTTTATCTGGATGATCAAAATTTAACAGCTAGCTGCCACGTGATTGATGATAGACATACCATCATTGGCATGTCAGTGATAACTTCATTTTCATTATTAATTGGTAAAATAGTAAACTTCAAATCTTAGACAAAAGAATTTATTTGAACAATGAAGTTATCGGTTAAGGATTGATTTGATTTTATTGGCTTATGCCTTTCTTTATATTAAAAAAATTGTTTGTAAAATAGGTTGTAAAACTTATTTTTAAAATTGAGTGTAAGATGTTAATACTTAATAATATAATAATATTTTATATAAAAATGAAATGTTTATTTTAAATAAAATAAATTAATTAAGATAATACTTAAACGAGTCGATATAGATAATAAATTAATTTAAATAAATAAACATAACTAAAATCACTTATAATAGCATAAAATTATTTAAACCAGTGTACCTCAAGAGTAATGCCGCTGAATAAGCATGATTAAGTTTGAAGACCAAGCTGAGGAACCCACCGACGATAATCAGTCGAGAAAGACCCAATCCTAACGAAGAGTCCATTTTCCAAATAAAGAAGAAAGAATGGAACTGCTGCTCGGAAACGTACGCAATGGTGACGCTTGGGACTAAGAGTGTAAACGAGCCGAGTTCGAGTATTGCTGAGCTCGACTCGAAAACTCGCGAGCTAAAAATTATGAAGCTCAACTCAAACTCAAAATATATTATTAAAACTCGACTCGAACTCGAAAAGACTTGAACTCAAAAAAAATTTAGGAGCTTGATTGAAGCTCGATTTTGAGCTCGATTCAAGCTCGAAATCAAACTCGAATTTTAAACTACAAAAATCTTATATTATATTTAAAATATATAAATAATTTTCCCTTTAATCAACCATTACCAATACATTATAATATGAATGTATGAACTATAAAAAATCTAAAAAATAAAAATGCAATTACAAGAAATTTAAGATAATTAATATAAACTTTGAAGTTTTTAAAACTTCAAATGTATTGAAAGTTTACAAAATATGACAACAAAATGAGAATTTATTTAATTTACCCTCACATAAAAAAGGTGGAAATAAAATCTAGACCACATGCTACTTCAACCATTTATTTAATAATATTCATTTACTTTCAAATAACTCAAAGCATAAATGAGAATGATCCTGATGAATTTTTTATCCACTCTTCACAATCTTGTGTTATTCTTGATAAGGCATTCTCTATGAATAAAAAAATTTAGGTAAATGCAGAAATGAGAAGTGAACACATTATTTAAAGACAAATCAATTGATATATAAATTTCCGGTGTATTGAATGAAAACTAACTTACAATTAAGAGATTTAGTTGAAGTGTTTGCGCTTGAATTCATGTTTTGCAGACCAAATGTTTCAAATATATAATGGAACAACAACTCAAATAATTAAGCATATGCCCTGCAAAAATGTACTGAATCAAGAAAAATATTTAGAGGGAAAAGGAAAAATAGTGTTCAGATTGTATGCACATATGAGAACGTAGAGCTTAGGAAAAGAGAGGTTTATCCAGTACACAACTTAAAAAACAATGATACATCATCCATTTGATAACCAAACCGAACAAAAATGAACCGGTGAGAAAGCAACCACAACTTGTTTGTAGAGGCTTGAAACAAATAAAATAATTTAACGATAATACGTTTTGAGGTTATCATATATGAAAAAAAACAATGCATAAATCATCTAGAAAGTTGAAATCAATGACTTCATACATGCATCAGGTATCAAGAACAAGGGGCAGAGAATAAATAACTGACAGTTAAATAGCCTTCTTCTTTAAACTCATGACAAACTCCAAACAAGAGCGAATCCAGCTTTTGAAGGAATATTTATTTAAAGATAAACAAACTCATAAACAAACTCACCAGAGGGGAAAGGGTACTGTTTGGTCGTGGGAGGTATACGTGAACAACGAGGAAACTGTAATGCTCAGTTTTTAAGGGACAATTAACCACTGGGGAAAAGGAGATCACATACAAAAAAAAAAGAGGAATGAGCCGAGTAATTAACCGAGAAAACAGAAGCAAAAAAAAACTGTCCCCATTGATTCTTTTTACAGAGAATAGCAAAACATAAGGATTTTTACTGTATTTTCCTGCTATTTGAGGATCAAAAGAAACAGAGAGCATTTTTTTTTCCATCAAACCCAAGCAATACACATAATAAAAAGGGTATTTTTTTAGTTTCTATTCTCCATTGCTTTCTTAATTTTCTTGTGTGTGCATATGTTTTGAATCTAAACCAAGTCAAAGGCATAAAGGAGATAGCTTAAACGTTTACCTTAGTTGTAGTTCATCTCGCTTTGCCTCTTGGCCGTTCAAGTCTCACTGTCAAAATAAGGGGTTGTGTTAGTAAAAAATAAGTTCATTATAAAATAAGAAGAGGTGGGTCTTGATAGTTTACCGTGCAGTGCGTCGGAGTTTAGAGTCGAACTCATCGACCTTGGAAGTTAGGGGTCATTGTATGTAATCTTAGTGTTTAGGGGTTTTAAAATAGTGAAGATAGGAGAGTTTAGGGTCGGGTTAGGCTTATGTTTGAGCAAAATATATCTAAGTGTCACCATCTCATAGACAATGCCAAACCATGTTAAAATATCTAGGGAAAGAGAAATAATTGTACATACCTTCAAATCCCCAATCACAACTTTAAGTTGCTTATTCTCATTCATTAGCTTTGCAATTTCATCAGCTTTTGCTTGAAAATGAAACAAATTGAAACTGGAAATTCAAGAACTATAAAACTTGTTGAGTTAATCGATCGATGGAATCGGCCAAGAGGGGGTGAATTGGCAATAAAAATTTTGGTGGAAGCTTTTGCAAACAATTGAAAGTAATTGCACAACGATTTACAGTGGTTTGACTTTATCAACCAAAGTCTACGTCCACTACCTTAGCTATCCACACTAAAGATTTTCCAACAAATTCACTAATTTGTTCTTTCTTTTGAGGACAAAGAGTAACCTTACAACTCCCTCAAGAATTATACCACAAATTCTTAAACACACTCTTTTTCAAAGAGAAATACACAAATTTGCAAACTTACAAGGAAAACTTCACAAGGTAAGATGTTTGCACAATTCTAGAACAAGAAAGAACACTCAAAAATAATTACAAATGAGCACAAATAGTGTTCTTGAAAGCAAAATGAATATTGAAAGGAAAATTGGCTTGATTTGCACAAACTTGGTGTTTGATGATTTCTCTCTTGTTTCTCTATAATATCTTGTTGATCAAAGGCTTCAGAATTTGTTTAAATACTCCCTCAATTGATTCTGAACGTTGGGGATGATTAGTGGAGTCAATTGAGTCGTTTAAATGTGAAAACCATTAATACAACAACTTGGAGCGTGGGGAGAATCGATACCCCTCATGGAGAATCGGTTCCCTAAGTGTAAAATTCAAATATTTCGACCGTTAAACAGGAGGAATCAATTCCCTCCGAGCATTCTGTTTTTCTCGGAGCAAAACCATTCTGGGGGAATCGGTACCCCCTTGGGGGGAATCGGTTCCCTCTGAGCAATCTGAAATTTTTTGTTTTGAAATGGTTCAAAATATTTTGTAAAATTGTTTTGAAATTATTTTAAGATTAAAACTTAATTTTACACTTGAGTAAGGATTAAAAATGACATTTGAAAGATTTGGAGTAATATTTTGATATTCGAATAATTATATCGAATATATTTAGAAATTTTTTTGTAAAATCTTAAAATTCATTTAACTTAATTTGTTATATCGAAACATCAAAATATTTTCAACAATCTCCACATTTTTTATATAACAAAACATTTTAATAATTTTAAGATTTTATTTTGAAATCAAGTTTGAAATCAAGTTTGAAATTACTCTCCCTTACTCTAATACTTCTCCCCTTTAAAACATTTTTAACATTTCTCCTCCTTTTTGTTAAATCAAAAAGATTTTTAAAAGATATTAAACAAGGTTTTGAAATATTCAGCCAACTGATTATATATAGATAAATAGCTGAAGCTGCTAAGATCACAATCAAGAGAAACGTTAGCCATTAGTTTCATAATCAATATTCATAAACAATGTGACATGAAAAAATTGGTCATAATGCAACTAATATGTAAATGATGCAAAAATAAACATTAAGCTCAAAATGAAAGTAAAAATCAAACCAAATATATTTGCATATAAGTTCAAATATTCAACTATCCAACAAATTCAAACACCCAAAATAAAACAATCCATGAACATCAAAATGTTTCACACTTAAAAGTTCTGAGTTCGGGACGATAAACCCATTGACCCAAAGACCGGGTTTGATAAACAAATTACTAAGGAGACAACCATAAACCAATGTTTCTATATTCTTGGAAGGAACAATGTTTATGGAAACTCACTAAAGATGATATGTGGCAGATTAATCTTATTTTTATGTTGGATACAATATATCCACCATATATCTATGTTCCTAAGGGAAGAGTACCTATCTCCGGATGGTCTAAACCACCAAGAGATCAAATAATGAAGGAATCTATCAAGATGAGTTCTTAGGGTACTCTCACTATCCTTAGACTTATAGGGTGAATCCACAGTCTCTTTTTCATTAAACCTGAGTTATCTAGTTCAAAATGGGTAGCGATTGCCGGAGTCAATAAAAATGAATTGTCCTAAAAGATATGATCGAATTCCTATAGTTTCAGATCGACGTTCGTTTTGGACACATACCACATTGGAATAGAAAAATGCGGACTAATTGATGATAAACCAAAGGTTTGAGTTTAAAGAGTTTATCAAACTTCTAGGATTTAAGAGTAGGAAGATATTGGAAGTCCATATCTTCTATAGCTTGGATCGAAGGAATACGCTCTTCCCAGATTTTGAATGATTCAAAACAAGTATGATGCATATGGTATAGAACTTGTCCACAACCAGGTACGTTGAAACAAGAGTTCATAATGGTCATATTTGGGTTATTTGGATTGGGTGGAGGAATAAGAGTTCGATTTTGACTTGAGCTACTAGACAATATCCTAGGTCGTTTAGGATTTGACATGGTTTAATAATCAAAATAGAATATGTAACCTACAAATTTAAACACATGTATGCAATATAATCAAACCCAAAACTAAAATGAATCCTCAATATTTCAAGGTTTTTTAAATCGAATCTTAAAGGGCAATGTTTTGAAAAACTATTTGGAAAATAATGTTTTAAAATCATAATATGTATAGTTTTTATGAAAACATTATTGAATCAAAAACATCAATTAAAACAACAATTTTTTATTTTTTTAATTTTGAAATTTAAAGATAGTTTTGAAAAATTGAGTGTTTTGACGAAATTGGTTGTAAATCATCATATAACCAATGCCCGATGTAATGTTCATCTTAGAACTAATCAAAACTAGTCCTAAGTTCAAAATTAATGAAATAGAGGATTTTGAAATATTACCTTTAAAATTTGGATTTTATGAGAATGTGATGTTGTTTGCAAGGATTAGAAGTTGAAGAACGATCTAATTCCGACTTGCATTTGATGATTTTGGCAAAAATGGAGATTTAGAGAGAAAGAGAGGATGAACGACGTTTAAGAAAGAAGAGAGGTTTTGAGAGAATGGGTTTTTTGTCGTGATATATCCAGAACCCGTGGGAGGTATCGATTCCCTCAAGGAGGGAATCAGTTCCCTTTCAAAGGGGGAATCAATTCCCCTTCAAGGGGGATCGATTCTATCTGCACTAAAACTGCTAAAATTTAATTTTAAACACTCAAAATGCTAAATTAATTTTCTCTAGTGATGTTTGCAACTCATATTACGAAAAAATTAACTATGTTCAATCAATCAAATTTATCATTAAAATTTATTTGAACATATAATCAATTTTTCACAAAGAATCATAAACTCCCCCTAACTAATAGCAAAGAATGCAATCAAAATTTATTATAAGCATTTTTCATTTATTCTTAAAAGTGCTAAAATTATTTTAAACACTAAGTGAAGATAGGTCAGTTAAACATAATTCTCTCTGTTGAGTTAATCGATTGACGGAATCGACCAAGAGGGGGTGAATTGACAATTAAAATTTGGTGGAAGCTTTTGTAGAAAATTGAAAGTAATTGCACAGCGATTTAGAGTAGTTCGACTTTCTCAACCAAAACTTACGTCCACTACCTTAGATATCCACACTAAGGATTTTCCAACAAATTCACTAATTTGTTCTTTCTTTTGAGAACAAAGAGTAACCTTACAACTCCCTCAAAAAATATACCCTAAATTCTTGAGCACACTCTTTTTCAAAGAGAAATACACAAATTTGCAAACTTACAAGGAAAACCTCACAAGGTAAGATGTTTGCACAATTCTAGAACAAGAAAAGAACACTCAAAAATAATTACAAATGAGCACAAATGGTGTTCTTGAAAGCAAAATAAAAATTGAAAGGAAAATTGGCTTGATTTGCTCAAACTTGGTGTTTGATGCTTTCTCTCTTGTTTCTCTATATTTCTTGTTGATCAAAGGCTTCAGAACTTGTTTAAATACTCCCTCAATTGATTCTGAATGTTGGGGATGATTAGTGGAATCAATGTAGCCGTTGAAGTGTGAAAACCATTAATACAACAGCTTAGAGCGTGGGGGGAATCGATACCCCTCATGGGAAATCGATTCCCTAAGTGTAAAATTCAAATATTTTGATCGTTAAACAGGGGGAATCGATACCCCCTGGGGGGAATCGGTTCCCTCCGAGCATTATGTTTTTCTCGGAGCAAAACCATTCAGGGGAGAATCGGTACCCCCTTGGGGGGGGAATCAGTTCCCTCTGAGCAATCTGGAATTTTTTGCTTTGAAATGGTTCGAAATATTTTATAAAATTGTTTTGAAATTATTTTAAGATTAAAACTTAATTTTACACTTGAGTAAGGATTAAAAATGACATTCGAAAGATTTGAAGTAATATTTTGATATTCGAATAATTATATCGAATATACTTAGAAAATCTTTTTGGAAAATCTTAAAATTCATTTAACTTAATTTGTTATATCAAAATGTTTTCAACAATCTCTTTTTTTTTTGATATAACAAAACATTTTAGTAATTTTAAGATTTTGAAATCAAGTTTTGAAATTACTCCCCCTTACTCTAACACTTCTCCCCTTTAAAACACTTTAACATTTCTCTCTCTTTTTGTTAAATCAAAAAGACTGTTAAAAGATTTTAAACAAGGTTTTGAAATCATTAAGCCAATTGATTATAAATATATATAGCTTAAGCTGCTAAGATCACAATCAAGAGAAACGTTAGCCATTAGTTCCATAATTCAATATTCATAAATAATGTGAAATGACAAAAAATTGATCATAATGCAACTAATATGTAAATGATGCAAAAATAAATATTAAGCTCAAAATGAAAGTTAAAACCAAACCAAATATATAAGCATGTAAGTTCAAATATCCAATTATCCATCAAATTCAAACATCCAAAATAAAACAATCCATGAACATCAAAATGTTTCACAATTCAAAGTTTTAAGTTCGGGATGATAAATCCATTGGCCCATTTCCTTATCCTTTTTCCAACTTGCTTTCTTCAAGGAAGTAAGATTGATTTGGTTTTGAAGAGAGATAGGAATATCAGAAGAGACCTTAAGACCGAGTTTGATAAACAAATTACTAAGGAGACAACCATAAACCAAGGTTTCTATATTCTTAGAAAGAATAGTATTTATGGAAACTCACTAAAGATGATATGTGGCAGATT